AACGGAAATTTATGAAGATGCAGATACTAATAGTTTTGTAATACTTTGTATATGGCACCAGAAAAAATTGTGCTGATGTTATTTGGCAGTCTGGATAAATAATTCTCCAATTTAGCTATGCCACTGAAAAAAACTACTTTATCAGTGCAAAATTAAATTACTATAAGTCTGAAAGTAGTCAATTTATTTATTTATTTATAAACATAGAAGTCTAGAAGCAGTTTCTCTTGTTCTTACAGATTTGTAAGATAACTTCTTTTTCTGCCTTTCTAGCACCCAATGAAGCATAGGCCCTCAACCAACTCACGCTAAGTCGTTCTATCCTTTGCTATCGCAGGCAGCTTTCCACATGTCCTCCCCAACTTTCAAACTTCATTTTCCAGCTCTCTTCATTATGTGTTTTTTGGCCTTCCTTTATTCTTATGCCCCTCTGGGTTCAAATGCAAAGACATTCTAGTCATATTGTTCTCCGGTTTTCTCAATGTGTGTCTTTTCCAACGCCAGCATCTTTACTTTACCTCCTGGTCCACTGGAGCTTGTTTAGTTTTCTCCCAAAGCTATACATTAGTGATTCTTCCATACCATTTAATTCCCTTTATTCTGCGCAGGCACCAGTTAATGAATGTCTGTAGTTTATTAGTAATCGCCTTAGTTGTTCTCCATGTTTACGCCCCATAAGATAACTAACAAGAAGATAAAATGTCTTCAGAAACATGTAATCAGTATCCAATTAAAAACAAATATATAACTGAAGAATGATGCCATTTTTCAAATTATGCTGGAATCTGCAGAGATGCAGTTTTAAGGACAAATAATGAGAAAACCCTGGACAGATAGAAAAAGTTATGATAGTGTCTTTCTTCCATCAACAACAAACTGCGTTTCTGGTTGTGACTGTTGGCTTTGGCCCCTCTAGCAATTGCTATATGCATATACTGCGTGCGCATATTTTGGGATTGTGACTAATTAGCTCTTAACATTTTTCAAATGAGACAGTAAGGGACATTTCAACTGATTTTGTTTGCTCATCCAGTTTTGTCCTTTTTCGGACGTAATTTTTTGTTGTTTGAAGCCCCACCCTGGCTTTTGCCAGGGGCCGCAATATAGGCAGGCCATAAATATGGCTGATTGTCTGAACGCAGTTTCTGGGACTTCTCCACGGCGATCCTCATCCACATGGTGGCACTTTGTGTCATCGGGTGTTTATAGCTTGTGTGATGTCCTAGTGAGGTAGAAAGTCAGTCAGTCAGTCAACTGATTTTCAATGGCACACAAATAGAACCAAGAATGGAATGATCCGACTGCAGTGAAGTTGAAACGTCGACTAAGACTTTTCTCATATAAAATGACCCAGCCTTTAAAACATAAATGTGTATAACCTTATTTATTTATAGCTACTTATCTTAGCTGTGATATACTCAGACCTACCAAGGAGAGATGTTCCGTTACATCAATTACAAGATATGATTTACCACGGTGAAAAGCTAATCGAACAGCGAAACAATAATTTCAAACATTAAAACAAATATTTTCATTAAATGCGTGATTATTAACTGTTTTTATATTTAAACTTGCATAAGTTTCCCAACAAATGGACAATCACAAGCTATTGATAGTAATGTGCTTCTACATAAGGAATTGTAGCCACTGGGATGAAGATTAACCCTTTCACTCCATAAAAGATTGAGAGAGAAAAAACACATTTTACACAGGCCTCTAATACACATACAAAAAAATTAACTCATCTATAGTTTGGCATGTTTTTCCTTCAGAAGATACAAAAATATATAGTGACCTTTATCACTGTGACTTACAGGGAAATTCCATGTTAACATGGGAAAAAAAAAAAAGCCATTGGGGTAACAGTCTAGTTCTGGACATTACAAATAGAAAAAGTCAATTCTATTAGATATTACATGGGAACAGCTAAAACATTATTTATGTATGGTGTTGAATTCAACATCACTTTGTCGTGCTACTGAAATGTCAAAAATGCAAAACATGACCAGTGCACATTAGATAGATTTGTTTATAGTTACAGAGTTTACAAATCTGCGACAAAACCCATTATGATATAAACTTTTAGTGTACTACACATCACTGGAAATATTTCCTGGCTTTGTCAATGAAAACCAGAAACCAGTTAGGCAGCATGAGTATGTTTCCATATGTCAGCATATTTCAAAATACCAATTAAATAACTAACCTATATTTAGGAATTTATCTACATTATGAATACTCTGTTTGAGAAAAACTCATTCTGACTGCAACAATCTGTTCTCCTTAATCCTTTTTTACATAACTTCATGTAACAAAAGAGTACAACTAGCCTTCATGGTCGTTTTCAGATGGTGTCCACTTTCTCCCCAAGAAGTGTGATGCATATATGAATGCCCACTTTGACTATTGGGAGCCGCCATGGTGTAGCGGCTAGATCCGTGTCTGCAGATCAGAAGGTCGTGGGTTCAGGTCCTGGTGGATTTTGTTTTCAAAAATGACCTTGGCTCATAGGTGGACCCAGCCTTGGGTGGGTATCAAGTGCAGCCCTGGGAAGTAATGGCGGTCGGCATAATGCTGACCACATCATCCACCAAGTGCCAGTTGGTCTTTAAAATATAGGTCTAGCCCTCTATGCCCAATAAATCTGAAGGTGTGGAAAAGGGTCCATTACTTTGACTACTGATGATTCCAGCTGCATTATTGCTTCCTAATAGCTGCTTTATTTGATTTTGCCACACTTTTTTTTTACATAGCTTTAAAATACAACTCACATTTGAAAGAGAGTGACTTTCCTTTTCATTCATAAATCGCTGTGTCGCACGGCTGTCATATGTTGCGGGGGTGTCATGCTATGCTGTATAGTTGTGCAACCTAGGCTGCATGCAGTCATGGGATGTAAGCTGCACTTTCCCATAGGGCCTAGGCTGCACTCTCTCTCGAGGGACATGGGGGGCGTTGGGGTTAGTGCCAGTTCTTCATGTTTTGGGACCGTAAAAGTTAAAAGCGCTCACATCCTGAAATATAGAAAACGCGACATCGCCGGCCAGACAACAACTAGTAAAATGCTATGTGCTGTTCGCCAGTTACTAATCATGGCACCCCTACAACACAGCACAAGCTGTGCGACAGCGATTTATGAGTGGGAAGGTAATTCACTCTCTTTCTAGGCCTAAAAATGTGAGATGTACCAACTTTAAGATGTTTATAATAAACCTAGTGGATGAGTTTCATCTGACTATGCTCTGTATTAATTGTCAACTCCATATGTGTGTTATTTATTAACTGTATATACTATTTATAAGAGGTACACAAACAGAGATCAAAGAAATTAACCCTTTAAGAAAACAGAAGCAGCTGTGCAATTGCACATTTTAAAGTCATAAGGGCATCACAAGTACCACAATCAAAATCAATATGCTCATAGCCAAGACTCCCTGCCTTCAGTAATAAGTGTGTCCACCGATGAAAAATTCTTAAACCCAAAAGCAGTTCCCATGACAGATACACACCTTTTAAAATATTGAAACAAAATTTGGTTATCATGGTCTATCATAACTAGTCATCTCCCATAACTAGTCATCTCCTTGTGGGATGCAGTTTTTCTTTATACTGAAGCCCCATCCTGGCTCTTGCCAGGGGCCGCAATATGGCCCGGCCATAAATATGGTCTAATGGCTGAACGCGGTTTCCGGGACCTCTCCACAGGTGATCCTCATCCACATGGTAGCACTTTGTGTCACCGGGTGGTTATGGCTTGTGTGATGTCCTAGTGGGGTAAAATCTACTACTACTACTACAAAATTTGGAGCTCTAAATTGAGCAGTTTTAAAACCAAGTTATGCCTTTTCAATTTCAATATTTCAATGTTAACATTTGCTAGTGAAAGCTGAAGAACCATTAAAGGCATGAAACGAGAGTTAAATGTTTCTGAATACTGAATTTTAAAGGGGATGAATTAAAGAAAGGCTGAAGAGATGTGGAAAATGACTAGTCAACCACTAGTAACAACAGTTATAAGACACTAAAAAAGATGGTGTTATATTAGACGTATCCTGAGAAGAAACTCGGAGAGAATCATCAAACAGGCACTAAAATGGGAAATAAAGGGATTAAGAAATCAAGGGCGTCCAAAAGAAACCCTGAAACAAACGCTGATGAGACAAGCCAAAGGTTCTAGACCGGATTCCATCCATTACATCGAAGACTGCATAGGACAGAACTAAACGGAGGAATAGACTGCGAGCCCTAGGTGACATATAACGTCAGAACAGAACAATGAATCCCCCGTGTGGGTTCCGGGGCCCTATTGTGGGGAAAACAAGAATAGACCCACTGCCTCCCCAAAAGCATGTCGTAAGAGTCGACTAACTGGGGAGCTTCCTTTGAAGTCGGGGTGCATCTGCCTGAGAGGCAAGGAACCAGCAGTCTGCATTCAATTGAATCAGATCTGTAAAACTGATGCACATGCAACACTCAGGTTCTGGAGCATGACTGCAGTCCAGAAGTGGACGAACAACCAGAACTTTACGCCAGAGTGTACAGCTGGTGAACACAAAGAAGAAGAAGAAGAACAATGAATGAATGACAGATATTGCAATTACATATTCTAGAACATATTTTAATGAGATGAGTGGTCAATTTTATCCCAACCAGCACAATCTAGCCAAATCTACGGAAGCCAGTTATGCTTGTAACTTTGTAGCATCACCATGAATAACAAATATTTGAGTGTGTACACTAAAGGTTAATGTCAATATCTCATACACTCAAGTGGCTTTTTTTCTTCAGCATAAGAGAAACATTTGAATATTAACACAAGTATAGCTTCATTTACATCTGTACACGAGATCACAGTCGTTAAACCAGTGGTTGCAACACATACTCTTCGCACACATACATTCATATTTCTTAAATGTACATATAAAAGGGCAAATGCACATATACAAACACCCACTCTCTCACTCACATAAACTGATCCCCACACAACTTGAGATCTACTGTTAAGCACAAGCGTCAGGGTGACTATGTGTGAGAGCTTTCCGTATTTTTGGTTTATCCCCTTTGATATGTTCTAAGCTCTGCTTCCTGTTAGAACCTGCAGACAGAAAAGAAATGCCAAAAGACTGCATTATTCATGAAGCAATACAGCAAAGAAGCATTAACAAACAAAAACAAAAAAAACTTCTTCAACAGCATCATCTGCCTTTCTATGGTGGTGTAGAAGCTAACTGTTCCCGTAACACACTGACTATACACACATCTTTCTCTTCCTCTCATTCGCCCCCCTTCTTGTAGGAGTGCACCTGGCAAGGAGAGCCGTATGGGAGGAAGAGAACGACATGTGTATTATCAGTGTGCTACGAGAATAGTTAGCATCTACATCTTAAGATATTTGCTGCGGGAGACAGAGCATCTATGGGTATGCCCGGTTTTCTATGATGTTGAATCTTCAATTAGTAAATCAGTATGGTGGTCACAGCAGTCAGAAGTGCCAGAAGCAGAATATTATATCTTCCTCAACACCTGAAGCAGTAAGAGAGGAATTTTTCTACTTCTTATCATTCACTGGCTGTAAACTGCAGCGGAAAGTTATGGTTGTTTAACAACTTCTGGACTTTAACCTTGCCCCAGAACTTGAGTTCTGCATGCACATCCATTTTACAGATCATGCAGACTGTTGGTTACTTGCCTTCAAAGAAAGCTAAGTAGTTGCCTTGTATGTCATGCTTGTTGGGGAATGTCCGTCTATTCTTGAATTTTACCCCCCCCCCCCCCCCCCCCCCCCCCCCCCCCCCCCCTCGGAGCCCGCTTGGGAAAAAGAGGGGGAAAAAAATAAAAAAGAATAATAAAATAAAGTTTAAATAAAAAAGGAGCCTTTTCACATCCATGGTACATTTGGGAATATTGAGCTGGGCTCATATTTTTTAAAGATTTTGATCGGTAATGTGGTCAACAAAATACAGCCAGCCTTTCCTTTCCAGGACATTTCCTGGTACTCGTTATTAGGCAGGGTCAACCTGAGAACCCTAGGTTAATTATAAAAATTTGACCCAAAGCAGAATCAAACCCAAGAACTTTGGGCTGGCTTACAGGCAAGTCTAGAGTCTTTGCACTACCCCGGCTCTCATTCATGAAGTTGAGGTGGAATAAAGTATGAAATCAGTGAAACATAAACAAAAGGAACAACAAAATTATTAATAATCTAGAAAAGCAGCCAATGTCGAACAAGATAATAAAGATAGGACTATCGTTTCCTTTGAAGGTGGACTGCATCTGCCTGAGAGGCAAGGAACCAACACTCTGCACTCAAATAGACAAACCTCTAAAAAAAGATATGTATGCAACACTCAAGTCCTAGAAAAAGGCTAAAGGCCAGATGTGGATAAACAAGGAGCATAGCCGGCAAACGCTAAGAAAAAGAATTTGTCACACCAGGGTATGGTGAAGGTTTATTTTAAAAAATATATTAATATATGATTACCAATAGACACGAGTGCACTGCCTACAGCCAATCCAGACTGACCACTAGGTGCATACTCTAAATCTCCGGTGGGCAACTGTATCAGAAGTGTCAAAATGGCTGCCTTATGGTCAGAAAGAGGTTCAATAGCTATTGCCGATGGCTTGTTGCTAATCTGTAAGAAAAAGAAAATAACTTTTTTTAAGCACTCATCTTTCAGACCCAAGTTGCATATTATCAATAATGCATGTTTTGTTTACATAAAAATGCACACATATCATGTATATACAATCATTCATACTCTGAATATACACGTACATACATACACTCTTATATGCCCATATGCACACAGACATAAGAAGAACACCCATACATATACATGCATACATACACACGCATACGCACAAATACATGCACTCAAATGCATATATGCACACAAACACACACGCACAATCACCTTTATACACACATGCACTAACACACACACAAACAAACATACGTACATCCACACCAGTGTTGCCACTTTGGATGTTTTACATCCAGATTTATATGTTTTCCCTTGCGTTTTCCCTAGATGGTGTTTTTGATGTTTAGATGGTAGATGTTTTTCTATATGTTTTTTGGGGAGTGAATTTATCAAATCTAACCTAAGAAACAGGATTAAATTTGACCTCTTAAATACTATCTTGACCATAAAATTTGGCCTGATAAGAGTAAGAAAAGGCTGTTCCACTTATCAGCTCCCTGATTAGGTATTAAAAGAAATTAGAACAGCTAAAACATAACAGAGTCATTTTGGATCTGAAGCTTCAACTTCATCATCCAAGCTAAGTTTATCCTGTGGATCTTGTAAGGCAGACTTCAGTAAAGATGAGGACATGATTCTATAGGGTAAGTCATTTCAATTTCTATGTAATTTGTGACTCTTTCCATTTAGATGTTTTTTCTGGATGTTTTCCATGCAAACTTAGATGTTTTTAGATATTTTTTGACTCCGTTCTGGATGTTTTTTTGTCAAAGAAAAGTGGCAACACTGATCCACACACACACTCTCATGCATGCGTACACAGAAATATATTCACGCAAACATAGAGAAATCAAGGGGTAGATTCTCTAACACACCAGGTGTTGCTCAAGAGTGAAAGAGTTAAAGAAGTAAGGGTCTTCAAGAAAAAGCCCTAGGCACATGTTGATGAGAGAATCAGAGGTGCTGGACTGGATACAATCCATGATACTGACAGGATTGCAGCGGATAACACAGAATGGAGAAATCAACTGTGAGTCCTATGTGCCTGCATAAACTGCACAACAGAATGGTGATGAACAATGAACGATACAAATATCAAGAATTTTGTCACAACAGAGAGGCAAATATACCTTCCTGCATCTTCTTAGGACAGAATCTAAATGATCTCTTTTGTCTGTAACGCTAAGTCCTATGTGACTATAAACTGCACAACAGAATGGTGACCAATAACGAATGACACAAATATCAAGAATTTTGTCACAGCAGAGTGGCGAACATACCTTCCTGCGTCTTCTTAGTACTGAATCTAAGTGATCTCTTTTGTCTGTAACAGCGGAATCAAATTTACGGTCAATCTCCACAGCAATGGTGGAGAAAGGGCGACTGGCCATCTGCTGCATCTCCACTATCATTTGCTGCACAAATTACATTTCAAAAAGTGTTATTAAATAAGAACATGACACATGAAATATCAGTCACTGGTCAAGGCTTGAGTAGCGGGTGGCTGAATGTTAAAAACACTTGGCTCTTAAGCGGGAGACCTCAGTAAGACAGGATTTTTTTCTGTTGGTGGCAAAATAAAATCCTCACCTGCAGTCATGGCGACAGCACTAGCCATACAGCCGTAAATCTTCAGGCTCAAAGATCCCCCTGCCTACACCGCAAAACTGGTATAATAAAGGCAGTGATTAGCAGTCTGGCAGTTAAGACTTCAACATTACGGCAGATGTGTCACCCCATAAGTGCTTCATTCATGTGCCAGTGGAAATCATAGAAAATGTCCTTCACTTTACATGTGAAAAGTGAAAAACTTGTTAGTCCCAGCAAAAACTGCATAAGGCAGTTGACACATGTGCCAACACTAACAGTCTCACAGTGTTCAATGTTGGCGCAAACGGTTGATCATGAAAGCCGGCACTGCTACAGCAAAAATACAAGCCATTCTGAATGTAAATGGCCAATGCCATTTTAGTGCAGTCATTCACACGCTGTGTCACACACACACATAAAACAATGCCTACGACCTCCACAGCTCAGTGTCGCACCAGTGTATGAAATATATCAAATGCAAGGAAATCTGTATTTATTACAAATTATTCAGTAGAAGTTGCTGTGGCATCATCATGGTTGGCAGCTTGCCTGCCAAGAAAGTGATTCAGTTTTAATCTCCAGTAGGAGCAGAATTATTTTGTATTGACTGATACAGCTTAGAAGAAGAAGGAGTGGGTGTAGAGGGGGAAGAGTTAAGCGAAGGAACAGAAAAATGATGAGGAGTAGCAGAAGAAGAACAAGAAAACAAGTAGACAAAAGAGTTAAACTTTTTTGTTAAAGTTAAAATTGGGAGAATCAACTTCATTGCACCGGGTTTGATACCATATGGCTTGGTCTCTCTTTGCATAACAGTGAGCCGCCTGCTAAGAGCATCGAATAGAGCATGAACTTCGTAGCTCCGGCAACGATCCCCAGGGGTCTCAGTAAAAACTGCACTCATGAAATGAATAATGCAGCCGTGAGACGAACATACGACCTTCAGAGCACAAGGCAAACGGCTTGACCACTTTGTTACAGAAGTAGACAAAAACGAAGGAAGAAAGAAAGAAAAAAAAAAGAAAGAAAGAAATCAAAGAAATATCTGGACAACCCCTGGCATCACATTTATAAGACAAAGAAGATAGCGAATCCAGAGAGATGGACAGAGAATCAACAAATAAACGCTGAAATGGGAAACAAATGGATTGAGGAAACAAGGACACCCAAAATAAACCCCGTAAAAAAGCACTGATAAGAGAGGCCAAAGGTAATTGGACCTGATTCTAGTCTAGCATTGAAACAATTGCACAGGACAGAATGAAACTGAGCAACAAACAGACTGTGAGCTCTGTATAATAAATGTAGGTCTATGGCAGACCTGCTAAAAATTGAACAAAGGAGAAACAACACACCCATTCATTCTTTACCACTTTAACACTTATCAAAGGAAAATACAAGGAATTGTGGAGAGAACAAACTAACAGTAAACATTCACAAGACCCTATCAGCAGACTCAACAAAAAGCAACACACACAAATTTTCCATCTATGAACAGGACACTGCAGGCTCAACTACCACATAAAAAAAGATTGTAGTCCCCACAGTGTGACTGTCAAACAGGACTACAAACACCTTAGCACATTCTGCACACCTACCCACTCTATCTTCAACTTCGAAAAGACACCTGGCCTCAAGAGCAAAGTGTGCAGAGCAAGCTATGGGAAACCATGAAGGACCTGCTGCTGACATGTGAGTTCATAGTGGCAACCCACCTTATGGTCTGATCTGAGCATTCAAACCAAACGCAAAGAAGAAGTATAATTAATGACATGACATAGTGAGGACTATTATAGTTCATAAAGAGGTCTCTGCGACAAAAAGGACATGCTATTTGCTTCATGATCCGAAGGTTGTGGGTTCGCTTTGAGGCCGGGTCTTTTGGTTCATGAGTGTAATTTTATGGAGATCCCTTGGAACTGTCATCAGAGCTACAGAGTTCGGGCTTTGTGCGATGCTCTCGGCAGGCGGCTAGCTGTTCTGCAGAGAAAGAGAGAGAGAGATAGAGAGAGAGAGAGAGAAGAGAGAGAAGAGAGAGAGAGAGAGAGAGAGAAAGAGAGAGACATATGGGATAAAACCTAGTGCACTGAAGTTAATCCTCTCGACTTTAAGTAAGGAAACATGAATATGACGCTTGTGTTTGAACAGTCTGGTAAATTCTTTATTCTCCCACAATGTGAATTTACCTGTCTCCTCCTATAGCCGTCATATTTGTGTTTGATCTTCCACAGTGCTGCAGCAATCAGCAACAGAGACAGGAAGCAGCTGAAAGAGGAAAACTTAGAACTTTACTCCACCTGAGAAACTCTTGATAAATACATACAGGAATTTTTGACCAACAACTGTCATTTATCTTGGTCTGCCTTTACTATCAATGTTTTACAGTCACCACAGTGTTCTCTAATGTCTCTCTTTTTTACCATATGAACAAAGAGCACTAACTGTTTAAAAAAAAAAGTGTTTCTTTGAAACTGTTTTGAATAATGTTTTATATTACACACACCCCCCCCCCCCTCCCGCCTCCAAATGCTTTTTTTTTGGGGGGGGGGGGGGGGGGGGGGGAAGGAATGTACCGCCTGTCAAAGGTATTTGCAACATTTGACTCAGAAACCATATTACCTTCAGTGCCCCAAATCTTCTTGAATAGCTTGTTCACATTTCACTGCCACAACAATGTATTAAAAAAAATGTATACATATGTTTTGTTTCAAAAATGTAAGTTTCTTGGCTAATTAAACATGGGATAAAGTAAAAGATGTTTCATTTCCAGCTTTACTGCTCTGAAGTTTGGACATTTGTTTCTTATTTCTCTTTAATTTGATCCTATATCAAAGTGAAATAAAATGAGCTTGGAGATTACACTGTAATGTAAATGAAACAGCTACAGATACATCCCATGTTATTTATCAACAGGTTAAGTAAGGTTGAAAGTGTTCATAGGTAAACATGAGTGAATATTATTTCTTTATTTCTCATGACAAAACTACCAATCACAATATTACTTTAAAAAAATAAAATCACAGGTCATCCATTCTATTTTACTCAAACAGAGTCAGACTATAGTCTTAAATTTTATAGATACCTGATCTAATAAGAATTAAAGGTCTTTAAATACATAAGCAAATTTCTTCTTCTTCTTCTTCTTTGCGTTCAATGGCGGTAATCTCAGATGGAAAGTTCTGATTGTTCTTCCACCTGTGGACTTTTTAGTCTTGTTCCAGAACCTGACTGTTGTGTGCATATATGTTCTACAGATCTGACTTACTTGTATGCAGACTGTTGGTTTCTTGTCTCTGAGGCAGATGTACTCCACCTTTAAAGCAAGCCCCTAATTAGTCGACTCTTACAACATGCTTGTTGGGGAGGCAGTGGGTCTATTCATGTTTCCCCATAATGGGAAAATAATTTAGTTAGAAACAAACTAGAACTTAACTACTAGCATGGCTCACACAGTTAGCTGTTCATAGACAACATGCATTTGTATGAACACAAACAACTGAGAACACAGCATGCTACACTGAACTAGTCAAACAAAGTTTATAATAAGTTACAATCTACTGCCTGAAAAAATGACTATAAATATAAAGTGCAGACTAATTTTTATTTCATCCTATATTACTGATAATCTTAAATTTACTGACCAGTTAACTGAACTATTAAGACTGAAAGATTGCATATGAACTCACTGAATCATAAGACTGACATATTCACTGAATCCAAAGATTGAAAAATACACAGAATTCTAGAACGGCCAAATCTACTTAATGATAAGATGTCACTAAATGTACTGATTTCTAAAACTGAAAAAACCCTGAATCTCACACCAACTCATTTTTTGGTCACAGTCATTACAGGGAGAAACTGCACGGAGTATATACAATCAGTTTTCAGGTTTAGCTGTGACACCTTTCTGTCTTTCTGCACTTTTTGGCCTGCACCTTTAACTTTAGTGTGCTTTCCTGTTAGGATGTGCTTTTTTAGACCATTATATTTAGACTGCATACAGGACACAACAGACTCTGCAGCCATATGTACAAGAAATTCCATACTGGGAGTTCATAACTTTGTTCATGTGGACAGGAACCAAAGAATGTGTGCTAAAGACATGGTCTGTACATGAAGTAGAGAGAGATCAGGTTTGACCAGTTGGCTTTCCAATGGAAACCAAGCTTTATGTAACAGTGAAAGACATGCATTGCACCACAGACTTCATACAGGCCTGTGGCCTTCTCATCCGAAAATCAATGGCAGGGTCGTCTCACAAGCCCCCGCTACCTGTGCATGATGCAAATGTGGGAGAGATTTAAACAATTACAAGACTGACTTATTTTACTGAAAATCTTCTTCCAACGGTCCTCGCTGTGTAACACTGGTAGTCATGTCTATCCATAACCTTCTGCCTCATTTATTATCAATCAGTTCTGACACAGATGATCTTCCATGTCATGATTTCACACTGCCCAGCATCTTCTCTCTCTCTGTCTCCCTCTGCCTCTTTTCCCCTTCACCTTTCTCCCCGTCATGATGTACTTATGACATGAGTGAGAATAATGTAGATTGTCTCCTTCTGATGTGGGCAATCAGTTCTCTTCATGAGCCAGTTTCTTTCAAGACATCTTTACTACTCATTTTATTTGTCCAGGGTATTCTCATCATCTGTCTACAAAACCACATCTCTGCAGCTTCCAAATAATGTTTCACTATCATCCAATTTTTCATGATTCACTTTTGTAGATAAAAATAGGATTTATTTAGCTCTTGAGAATTCTCTTTCTTATCAAAACTGACAATGAAAGATTGCATAGAATATTCTTCTTTTTACTGAATATCAGCTCACTATTTCTATACCAATTCTAGTTAGTTGACTGCGAGGCAATTAATTAGAGATTTGCTGAAATAGATGTGCTAGGCTAAAAGGTGCAGGTATCGCAACCTAACAGTAAATCACAAAACAATGTGCCAACCATCCTTTTAGCAGTGATCGAAGGAGCAGAAGAAAATTAGAAGATATCAAACCAAATGTAAAGCAGAACAAAATTATAGAGCCATTTTCAATAATGCTATATATAGCCAGTTTTAACACATAGCTGTGTATCCTGGATGATTCCAGAATCAGCATTGCCGCTCTTCTTTGATAGCCAACGAAGTGTTTCTATGTTGGTGGTACCAGCGGCTATCTGATTAAAACTGTGGACTATCTTTTCTCCTGCATATAGACAAGTCCTCCTGCCCCTTCACTTGCTCCCTCCTGAGGTACGGATACTCTTTCTGTTCTGTGACACAGAGAGGTTTCAACAGGTTCAACTTATCATAAAGCAGCTTGTTGTCCGTTAATGTGACAGCAGCCATTCTATCAGCACATTCACTGTTCCACACACATATATGTCCTCCGAGAGCAGGCCTATTCATGATATGTTCTTATTTTATTATATTAATCTTATACTGAATCAATTAAATGGATGAAACATAAAAGCTTTCAAATGGAAGCTGAAAATTTACTAAACATCAGGAACACAAGCCTGTATCTGCGTTTGTGCAAAGAAAAAAAAATAGACAATGAGGAGCAATTTATAACAAAGTATTATGGAGGAAATAATGGTTAATAGAAAATCAAGAAAATATGAATGGGGTTAACTGAACTGATTACAACTTTTTGAAGTTAGTTGTGTATCCTTTACAGGACATTGCAGAACCAACCTCAACATTTTTTGGCTGTTGTGGTTTTTTGTTAGAAAGAAAGAAGTGTTAATCAAAAAAGTAAAACTATTAATGGAATAAAAGTAAAATAAAGAAAGAAAAAAAAAGAAATGTTAACAGAAAGGAAAAAACAGCTCATAAAACTAAAACTTAATCTACAGCAATAAGAACTGCCATGAAACATCATTTAATGTGGGGAAAAAACAAACTAACACGGACATTTTGTAATACAAGGAAATAAGAAAATACACGAACACAGTATGCACATAAGAAATACTAACAAAAGAGTAACTATTAGAAAACAAGAACTCTTCATTTACAAAGGATATTACACAAAAACAAATCTTATTGTTTCAGCCAATATCCTTCACTGCTTTTTAAATCTTATCACACCCTCTCTGCATTATTAACTTTTTCTTCTCCTCTCTGCAGAATGCAAAAACCGCAATTTCTTCACAGGCTGTAAAGATGACCTCATTTCTATATTAACATAAGCTTTTAAAACCAATATAGGTCCACTTTGGTAAAACCAGCAGTCCAGGAACCAAACAAGAAAGCCCCCCCCCCCCCCCCCCCCCCCCCCTCCCACCTCCCAAGGAGTGTTCTTGTTCCTGTTTAATGCACCCCACATATCTCATAGATAACCTACATTTGTGCCCTATGGTGACCTTTTTTTAAAGCATCAAAAGATATCAAATCTCTGCTAAAAGCATGTTGGGTTAAAAAGTTGAAAGTGACATAACTGGGCCAAAAAATTTTGTAACAACTGATAACAGTAATGCACTAAAGAAACATAACATGGTCTGCCGAAGATCAGACATTTTATGAGAAAACTGAGCAATAAATCACCTGATGTAACACAGTATTTTCAGACTGTAATAAAAATGCTACAGTACAGAGCCACTAGCTTGAGAGTTGCTGTAGACACCATTCTCAGTTGATAAAGCAACTATTACTGTGTTATGTATGTTCTTACAAACAGTGAAGGAAAATGAAAAGCTTAGGTACATCCTGGAGGATGTACCTCCTGTGGGTGAAGCACCACCGGATGCTTTACAGATAGGGATAGGTCTAACCATCTCTTAATACTAACTATCTAATGCTATGCACCAATTAGAGTCCTGAAACTGTTCCTTAATTTAAATACAGTTCAGGCGTATTGGGCATCTAGGGCTAGACCTATATTTTATAGAACAATCAGCACTAGGTGGGTGACGTGGTCAGCATCACGCCGACTGCTTTTATTTCTCAGGACACCTGGCACCCATTTAAGGTTGGGTCAACATGGGAGCCACAGTCATTTTTACAAGAAGAAAAAGTCAGCTACAGTCAGGTCCTGAACTCATGACCTTCCGATCTGCAGCCGAGTGTCAAGCCGCTAAACTAAGACTAAATATCCTAGTAGCAGAAGAAAATTAATACTAAGTAAAGTTGACTGCTGATGATGCAAGATCCCTAATCAAAATCATAAGGAAAAGAAAAAATAATTATCAGATATGTTACACAAGGGTTGGGATAAAGAAATTAGCCTTACGTGAAAAAATACCATTTAAGACAGGCAGAGGAAGGCAAAGAAATCTGTATGCGGAAAGCTGAAACAACTTGACAAAACATAAGAGGATGATCAACACCACCTTTATTACAAAATTAGAATACAGACATTGAGGTTTGCCTGCTCTAGAAAAGGGACCTGAGGACAAAGACGTGTGATAAGGATGCAGAAAAGAGAACAAAGAAAAACAACTGCTAAGATCTCAATGCTAGAATAACTAGAGTATGAACATAAATATCTCTAATTTGTTGCCGTGGCCCATAAGAAAAGCAAAGAACATTAACCGCTTTGTCCTGGGAACACTAGAGAAGGTCATGAACTCATTAAAATTTCAGAAAATATCTTTGAAAAAAAAAAAGTTATTTTACATAGACCATTAATAAATTTGTGGGGAAAAAATTATTTATACACATTTATTAATTTTTGTGCTTTCAAAATACAAAGAGGGTGACATATTAAAAGGAATAGAGGGCTCTCCCAAAAATGTATCCAGTGACCAATGCCGTAACCCAGTGACCTCTATCATTGAGGTACAGACATACGTGAGTCAACTAGGCTTTAAAAAAAAAGCTATTAGGCTTAAAAGATACCCCCCTCCCCCTTTTCCCCCCACACTATATTTAGTTGATATACTTCAAACCTGACCGCCTAAACATTTATGCAGGCAGGAAAAGAACCAACAGCATTAATTATGCATCTTGTAATCAGGGGACTACAGACAAGTTGGAAAAGTGACATTTTTGGGGAATTATGGAATTGTGAGTTTTGTGACTTCTTGAGGCAAAGGGTTAACACTGAACCTGCCATGCTTACACAAAAGAAAGCTAAGAAGAAAGCTGGTTGTCTTGAGACTGGCTATATCCTCTCATTAAAAACTGTTGTTGCAAAAACAAAAAAAAGGGAACCAGTCTATAAAGTTGTTTGAGGGCCTTTTCACCACTAGCTGACGGAAGTTGCAGAAAAAAAAAATTGCAGAAGAGAGGGTTAATTACAGCAAGTACGGCTGTAGTGAGTTAATTATAAAGTCATGTATCGCTACAATATGCGCTTTCAAACTGCAAGCTAATTTACGTAGAATGCTGAGGAATCATCTGATGATAATATCATTTGCTATCGATATAAAACAAAAATGTCAAACAACTTACCTAAAGAAAATTATAAAAAACCTAAGCAGATTGATTTTATCCGGTTGAACAAAAGAAATCTGTAAATAAAGATAAACACATGAACAATGACATGCCTGGCTGTTAGCGGCAAGCGGATATAAATGTGGCATGAGGGCAGCTTGAGGAGGGAGAATCGCCTTCATGCAAACATGCACAAACTAACACACAGGTGCCGCCAGTGCTAACAGGAAACAGACACCTCGATAGTCTACAAACTAAAAAAAAAAATCTCTTTACTTTGTTTCTTTATCCTGTTTATCTGGTTTTAAGCATGTTTCTTTATTTTCGATTTCCTTATTTTATAAACTATATGCTAACAAGAAACGTATTAAACTGTTGTTACGAAACTATAGTTATTTTTTTATTATGAAAAATATGTTCCCCCTCTTTTTTTCCCTGTTTTTTCTGAGAAAGCTTTGGTTTTTAGCATGTTACTTAACTTTCAATTTCTGATAAGCTTTTTTTTTATACACTAGAAACCAACAAGAAACCAACTAAGCTCTATTACAAAACCAAGTAAAGGCATTATTTTTGCATAAACTGAACAGAGATCAGAAAATGTAGACCTTAATCTCAACACTATCAATATTTCTTTTGAATATCAACTGAATTAGTATCTGAAAACGTATAAGTTAATCTCTGTTATACTTTACTCTATCATAACAAAACAGATAATTCCGATAGAATAGTCATAATTTTACAGGTTATTAATTATTTGATATGAAATTTTAATGAAATGTATTTTCTTATACTGAGTTTTCAAAAAGTTAAATTATTAGCCTTTATAATTTCTAAAATCTACATGTGAAAAACAAAAATTTAAGCATTTAATATTATTATTAAACTTATTTTATTGAAACATACTTTATTCTCCCTGGGACAGCGTTTTAGCACCAATCGCAATAAAAAATAAAATTTAATTTAAAAAAAAAAATATATTAAAAACAACAACAATTCAGATGCCAAAAATTATAAACGGAAATATAAACAAGCAGATCCCTAGTCAAGCTCTCTGTTTTCTGCATGTGGTTCAGGAGAGCTCACAAATTAGAAGAACAAAACTGACCAGACAGCCATGTGTTTCTGTACAGTAAATCCACAATTTTGATCAACCCCAAAAATGACTTTTATCCAAAAATGCTGTTTTTTCACTCTTTCTGTCCCAAGCAATGCACCGTGTGTGATCAGCTCTGTATGTTAAGCGTAGTATTGTGTCTATTTATACACTGTGTGTTTGGCAAAGCATATAAAAGAAATCTGGCTACATATTCTAATATGTGTTCAGCAAGAGGGAATGAAATGGGATGACAGAATCGCTAATGTGGAGCTTAGGGGAAGAACTAAGTAAATTTAAGTGAATCAAGAGGTGATAAAAAGACACTGAAAGATATGTGAATGCTTCTACACGTTCACCGTGTAAACTACGATGGAAAGTTCTGGTTGCTCATCGACTTCCAGACTTTAGTCTTGCTCCAGGAACTTAGTGTTGCATGCAGATTCATTTTACAGATCTGGTTTATCTATATGCAAACTGTTGGTTCCTTGCCCCTCAGGCAGTTGCACTCTGACTTCGAAGGATGCTTCCAAATAGTCGACTCCTACGACATGCCTGTTGGGAAGGCAGTGGGTCTATTCTTGTTTTCCCCACAATGGCAGCCTAGAACCCACATGGGGAATAGGTGAAGTGAATCAAGTGTGAAAAGACACTGATGAAGGATAGGACACACATTGAAATAACCTGATATGAATGTAACTAGAATGTCTTTGCAATGGCCCTAACAGAATCAAAGAAATAAACGGAAATCAAACATACATAAGGAAAATAATTAAAGATGGAGATGAATATAATGAGAAAGGCATTGAGCCAGGTGCATGAAAGGTCAAAGGACAGGACTGTGTAGAGTGACAGAGTGGATGGTTCCACACCATTTAGTAGTAAACCGATGAACGGCAAACTAGATGTTGTGAAAGCCTCTGATGTGAGTGAAAAGTGCGGAGGCACAAAGATCAAGGTCTGTAAAGAATGGTCCAGCAGGAAATGACCTGGGGATCTGGCCAATGCTCAAAACTCAGGAAAAAGGGAAGACGGACACACAATCAGACGGCCACTGGTACCATTCTAATTGCAACCATACCAGCTGCTGAAAATAAGGACAGAGCACTTATATGAATGTTCCGAGTGATGTGATATTGGTTCTAAACTCAACTACTTAGCGTGAGTTTATGTGGACCATGTTCCGCTTGGGAATAAAAGGCAGAAAAAAAAGTATATGTCATGTCTCTGAAAGCAATACACTCATGCATTTTCAACCGTGTTTACAGATCTCTCCAGACAGCAAAGGCACTTATAAGAGCTATAAACAAAGAGACTTGGCTGAACAGATGGGCCCCGGGAGATACTGAAAGAGAGGTTTGGAGACATATGGCTGGCCCTGATCCTAACGACATCATCAACCATCTAACAAAGAGGGACCAGGCCACCATCTTCAGACTCAGAACACAACATATTCCAATCAATGGGCATCTTAACAGAATACAGCCACTGCACTCCCCAGAGTGCCAGCTATGTAGCTACCCCTATGAAACTGTTGACGATCATCTCTTTGAGTGCCCCAAACTCAGTGAGACTAGAAGAATGCTACTCCCTCCAAGACCAGACAAGTGGAACACCTTGTACGGAGGAAAACATGTAAATTCCGCTATATGGCTGTGGGCCAAATGTTGTGCGCCGCTCGATCGATAACAACAACAATAAATACTGTCCCCCTTTGGCACCTGCTGAAAATTGTGTGGAACGAAAAGAGTTTTAAAAAAAAACTACCCCCTCCCCCCCCCCCCCCCCCCCCTTTTTTTTTTCAACTCCCTTAAGCAACATAAAAAAATTTTGATAGGAAATCAAATACAGCCACACCATTAACCACATGCAGAAAATCAGTATCCATGCCACAATACCAACACTGTGCAACACTTTTTTAAAACACAACAACATTGTATGTGGAGGGGCTGGCACCCTATAGCTCCTTAACCTTACCAGGCAACTCAAAGGTTGAAAAAATAAAAACAACCACTCCTTTACATACCTAAAGAATGTAACGAAAAAGTGTACAAGATCTATTTTTGGAAACTGTGAAAATGATATCTGAAACAACGGAGACAAGATTAACAATTTTTCACAGCTGGATTTGTAAAATTTTAAGATTATTTAGTACAAAAAGACTTACAGATGGTAATGTCATTCATCGGGAGAAACTTACAAACTGCAAGGTCATACACTGTAAAAAAACTTACTTCTTCTTCTTCTGTGTTCACCCTTAAAAAAGGCAGTTGGTACAATATCTTGTGGTTTACAGCTAGGCTGCAATATCTGCACCTTTCAGCCCAACACATCCAATTTCAATAAACTCTTAATTAGTCCCTTTTTATGACATTCCTTGAAGGGGTTGGGGGGGGGGGGGGGGGGGGGGGGTGGGGGGGGGGGGGGGAGTGGATCTAAACCCAATCGCCACCCCCCCCCCCCCCCCCCCAGTCCGGACCCACATTGAGATATGAAGCTTATTAACTGCAAGATTATTTTTTGCAGGCAACGTGTTGTTGATTGAGAGGATAGAAAACTATTGGACGGCACTCCATAAATCATCTTGTCCTTCTTGCTCACGGGCTTTAAACTTTCTGGAGATGTCCCTGACTGTTCCCTTCTCTCTCACACACTCAGACACAGACACACACATGAAAAAAAAAAAATTGCATATCAATGCAATAAATCTGGAAATGTATAGACTAATGGGCACTTAAGGAAGCTGGGTGCGTTTACTTCCTAGGATTTTTCCTGGTACCCATTTTAGGCTAGATAGACTGGGATGGAAGTAAAAACTGTATACACGAGGGAGATGAATTGTCGTAGACCACGAGGCAGACCAAGAAGACGATGGAGAGATAATATCCAGATAGACCTGAAAACACTTGGTGTCACCAACTGGAAAGGGTAGGCCAACCAGAGAGATGAGAGGAGGCGGGTGATATCTGTAGCAATAAACCTTAAGGGCTCAGAATGCTGAAGAGGAAAAAGAAGACTGGGTAACCAAGGGGTATATTTTTTTTAAATCTGATGAATTCCAGCCCATAGGCAGGCATCAAATGGGATGAATGCAAGAGAGGTGAAGAAATGAGATAAATGCCTGGACATTTGCAGGAAGCAAAAACTATTTGAAAAAGATGGCAATATAGTAGGCAGTGGACAGAGAATCACTAAACAGGCACTGAAATGGGAAACAAATAGACTTAGGTAATGAGGATACCCAAGAGAAGTCCTAAGACAAACATTGTTGATTGAGAGGGAAAAAAAAACAAGAAGAAAAAGAGAAGAAGAAGAAGAAGAAGAAGAAGAAGAAAAAGAAGAAGAAGAAGAAGAGAAGAAGAAGAAGAAGAAGAAGAAGAAGAAGAAGAAGAAGAAGAAGAAGAAGAAGAAGAAGAAGATACTGGACAGCACTCCACAAATCTACTTGTCCTTCTCGCTCACGGGCTTTAAATTCTGGCAGAAATGGGGTATTAAAACCCAAACGGGGGCAGTCCATTTATAACAGAGAAAGTACTGCACTGAGTAGAACACAATGGAGGGCTAGACTGCGAGCCTTATGTGACAGGCAGGGAGACGGGCAGGATGATGACGGTGAACTAAATAATTAACTGTTTGACCTGCTTCTCTTTAGCATGCCTACATTCTCACTTGCACCTATACCACCACACATGTCATGCCAACAAAAATTTATATGTGTACACATTTTTTCTGCTTAGGAGCTGCCGTGGTGAAGCAGCTAGACGCTCGCCTGCGGATCGGAAGGTCGTAGGCTCAAATCCTGGCGGAGCAGGACTTTTATCCCAGGTCAACCCAGCTTTAAATGTGTACCAAAGTCCTGGTAAACAGAGGCAGCTGGTATGATGCTGACCACATCCTCCACTAAATGCCATTTGGTCTATAAAATATAGGTCTAACCTTATATGCCCAATACGCTTGAAGGCGTAAAAGGGGTCCTTTACTTAACTTTTACATTTTTCTTCTTCTGTTTCTTTGACACACCATTTAAAAGCGCAGCTAGCATGTTGTGATAGCTGCACTTTTTGGCTCACACATCTGGCTTCAGCAAACACTTAATTAGTCTTATTTTACAACATTCTTGTTAGGGGGCCGTGGGTCTATTCTTCACCCCCCCCCCCCCCCCCCCCCCAATAATGCTCTGGAATCTACAGGGTGACAACGCATTCTATCTACAAATCAAAACTAGTTTATGAAGAAAAAGAACATTACCTGAATCATAAACGGTGTCTTGAAATTGTAGACATAAACAAAGAAAGTGGTGTTTTCTTTCCCAGCCAAAGGATAAGTCTTGTGGTCAAACTTGATGTGGAAGTAGTCACACGAGCGTTCCGTCACATAAATTTTCTCTTGAGGGGATGTTTCTATTGTGTGAAGAAAAAAAATATCATTAGAGATGACTGATACTGATAGTACCTTGGTAGTAATTCAGTTGAAGTATGTCTAGGTACTTGTTGGGTTTTTTTTATTTCTGACACAAAAATTCCTACTAGTTACTGAGAATTAGAAATGAAATTTATGAAGCTTGAAAATCAAGCTAACTTACAACCTAATTTTGGGTTGCTGGAAAACCATGATGAAAGCATCAACATTCAGTAAAGACCAACCATCACAGTATTTCATTTAGGGATACCATGATAGAAGCATCAACATTCAGTGAAGACCAAACATCACAGTATTTTATTTAGTGGTACCATGATAGAAGCATCAACATTCAGTGAAGACCAAACATCACAGTATTTTATTTAGGGATACCATGATAGAAGCATCAACATTCAGTGAAGACCAGACATCACAGTGTTTTATTTAGTGGTACCATGATAGAAGCATCAACATTCAGTGAAGACCAAACATCACAGTATTTTATTTAGGGATACCATGATAGAAGCATCAACATTCAGTGAAGACCAGACATCACAGTATTTTATTTAGTGGTACCATGATAGAAGCATCAACATTCAGTGAAGACCTAACATCACAGTATTTTATTTAGTGGTACCATGATAGAAGCATCAACATTCAGTGAAGACCTAACATCACAGTATTTTATTTAGGGATACCATGATAGAAGAGTTCACATTCAGTGAAGACCAGACATCACAGTATTTTATTTAGTGGTACCATGCTAGAAGCATCAACATTCAGTGAAGACCAGACATCACAGTATTTTATTTAGGGTTACCATGATAGAAGAATTAACATTCAGTGAAGACTAAACATCATATTACTTTATTTAGGGATACCATGATGGAAGCATCAACATTCAGTGAAGACCAAACATCACAGTATTTTATTTAGGGATACCATGATAGAAGCATCAACATTCAGTGAAGACCAAACATCACAGTATTTTATTTAGGGATACCATGATAGAAGCATAAAAATTCAGTGAAGACCAAACATAACAGTATTTTATTTAGGGATACCATGATAGAAGCATCAAAATTCAGTGAAGACCAAACATAACAGTATTTTATTTAAGGATACCAAGATAGGAAGCATCAACCTTCAGTGAAGACTTAACATCATGGTACTTTATTTAGGGATACCATGATGGAAGCATCAACATTCAGTGAAGACTAAACATGGTATTTTTTTAAGGATACCATGATGGAAGCATCAACATTCAATGAAGACCAAACATTACCGTATTTTATTTAGGGATACCATGATAGAAGCATCAACATTCAGTTAAGACTTAACATCATGGTACTTTATTTAGGGATACCATGACGGAAGCATCAAAATTCACTAAAGACTAAACACAGTATTTCATTTAGGAGCCCCCAATAGAGCATAGGCTCCCAACCAACTTATGCCGAGTCGTCCATCCTTTGCTACTACACCCCATGTCATTCCTATCTTTTCAGCCTATCTCTTCAGCTCCCTTCCTTCGTTGCCTTTATTTATACGCACCTGTGGGTTCCAATGTAAAAATATTTTAGTTATACTGTTCTCAGGTTTTCTCAACGTGTCCTATCCAAAACCAGCATTTTTTCTTCACCTCTTGATTAACTGGAATTTGTTTAGTACCCTCCCAAAGCTCCAATCAGTGATACTAGCATACCATCAACACTCAGTTAAGGCTAAACATCATAGCATTTTATGTAAGGGCACCATGATGGAAGTAACAACATACAGTGAAGATTAGAGAAAAAAATATGAGTCTTTACAATGGATGCTGGTTGCAATATATTCATTGCTAACTATGGGATAATTTAGTGAGGCCCCAGTCCCTTCCACAATATGACATTCCTACAACTGCCTGAAAACATTATATGCCCAATGCGCCAAAAGCATGAAAAAGGCCCTTTACTTTACCCACTATGACTATGCATATCACAGGGGCCAACTTGTCTACCAGTTTACTAGCCCACCAGAAAATCGTGAGCAGCCCCCAAAGGTAGCCTCAAAAATAAAAAAGGCTAGCCATCATTTTTTATGTATCATAATATTAACTGAATGATAAGCTTGCGCATATTAGAGAATCCGAGAGCACTGTGTGAAATGTGTTCTTATCTACATTGTAAAGCACTGATAGCTTTAACTCTTTCTCCTAAACAGTAACTGCTATAAAACTTTCTATCCTACAGTGTGTGCAGTTTAGAGAAACAATCAGTTTAGAGAAAGAATCTCTGAGCCATGAGTTAAAATGATTAGGTATAAGCCAGGAGAATTTACAGTAATATTTGGAATTGAATGGGTTAATTTAACAGAAGAATGGGATGTTTTTTGGGTGTGTTTGACCTAGAAACACATGATAGGGTGCTTGGAACTGAAAAAAATTAAACCTCAAAATCACATATCTCAATTCAGTTCTGTATAAATATTGCATAAACATAAGGAAACAAATGAAAAACCTTTCCATCAAAACTGAGACAACACTTACTTGATTTATATGTAACGTTTATCATTGCAGAGGATCCACCCGAAGAACAATTCAAGGTGAAATCAACATCTCTGTCACTCTGGAAGGTTTCAAAAAATTGTCATTAAAGTCAAATAAAGGACCATTTACTACCATGCCTTCAGGTGTACTGGGCATTTAGGTCTAGACCTATACTTTATAGACCTATCAGCATTCGGTGAGTGATGTCAACAACTAAGGCAATCAATAGTAAACAAACATTTATTAACTGGTGCCTGCGCAGAACAGAGGGAATTAAATGGTATGATAGAATCACTAATGTGGAGCTTTCGGAGAGAACTCAGTGGACCAAGAGGTGAAGAAAAGACACTGGCGTTGGATAGGACACACACTGAGAAAATCTAAGAACAATATAACTAGAACAGCTTTGCACTGAAACCCACAGGGGCACAGAAATAAAGGAAGACCAAAAAACACATGCAGAAGGGAGCTAGAAAGAGTAGTTAAAAAGATAGGGAGGACATGAGGAGAGCGGCATTGCGATAGCAATGGATAGAACGGCTTGGCATGAGTTGGTTGAGGGCCTGTGCTCCATTCAGGGTTAGAAAGGCAGAAGAAGAAGAAGAAGAAAGTCCATAAATGTTAGGAAAATACCCTTTGACTATGCACAGTTAGCAAAAAACTAGTCACAGTGTAAGAGTGTCTGAAATATGCAAATAATCTTCTTAACCTACAAATTACCATGATCGCACACTATGTGATCCGCTGACGTTTATGTCTGGCTACTACGATTGCACCCCCTGCGATTGTAACTTTGAACACTCGCTGCCATGTTAAAATTGCGACTTTTGCATCAGTTCATTTATTTCTCTATGGTTATTTAAGAGAAATACTTCAGTAGTGCTTAAAGTACATTTTCCGCAAATTTATTTTTGGTTAGCTCCCAAGTTAATTACACATTAGGCGCATTTTTGCATTACTATAGTCTGATCGCTAGGGTCAGCATGGTGAAAAGTTCGGAGTATATATATGGTGCAGCAGGATATTGTCTTTATTGTTTTGAATCAAAAAGTGAAGACGAAGATAATTCTGAACAGTGTGATGACTGTGGCTTTGATAAATCTTACGAGCTGCCATCAAAAATATAGTAGAAACTGGAAAACGACGTTTAGCTTACAGCAGTGGCTAGCAGCCAGAGGTAGGTATGTTATGTTACATTAGTTCGTGTAATTGTTTCATGTAAGTGCTTCAGGTGTGTACTGTTCGATGCTTCTGTTAGTATAGATTATGTATATTACAACTCTGTGGCCTAGAGTTTAGTGAAAAGTGTTTCACAGTGCAATCCTCAACGTTTACCAGGTTACCATTTCGGCGATGCCAGTTTTGGGAAAAGATAGTTTTTTTGGTAGCTTTTCAGTACGACAATTCAGTCAGACTGTAAAAGAAGTTCTTGGTGCAAAATGGCAACACAGCCTTTGAATTTGCACTATCTTATTTCACAGTTAGGCAGAGCTCTCATGTAGGATTATTTCAGGGGAAAATAAAACAGTTCTTATACTAACGTCAAGATTTTTTGGTTGCCCTTTTTATATCAATGTACAGCCACATGATGATGATGATGTTAAATAAAATTTTGCCATTTTTTTCTTAATTTGTCTAAATTTGTCTTTCTACCCAACCTCCCAACTTATTCTGCTTTTTGATCCTCTAAGGTAGTAGTTCTCGACCTTCCTATTGCCACGACCCTTTAATATAGTTCCTTGTGTTGAGGTGACCCCTAAACATAAAACTATTTTCATTGCTATTTCATAACTTCAGTGAATATGTGTGTTTTTTTGGGTGGTCTTAGGTGACCCCTGTGAAAGGGTCAGTTATAATCAAAAGGTTGAGAACTGCTGCTGTAACGGAATACAAGTCTTTAACGAAGTCATGTCAGGAAATTTTACCGCTTGGTCAGCTGTTGTATTCTGACCTTTCCAAAACACTTTTACATTTTAAAATAAGAATTTAAAGTGCTTTACATATTGTGGATACCTCTCTTTATTCTACCATCCAATGAATGTGTCCTAGCTATCCGAGTACAGTCTGTGCCATTTAGAGAAACAAAATTTGAATCATTAAGAGTTAAAATTGACTAAAGAGGATATATACTTTATACAGCACATTCTGTAGATTTTTTAAACATTTTATACAGATTATGGATTTATTAGATTATTACACATCCTTCTGTGCTCTTCTTACACAACCTGCTTTTTAAAATGAACAATAAAAAGTTTCTCACCGAAGTAGGAGTATTCAAGAAATTGATCTGTGTTAAACGGGTATCATCCAGCTTTGACAAGTTGAATGTATACTGGAAATCAGTGTTGAGCTGGTCTGAAACAAGAAGGCAAAGAAATGTACAACATTTGCAGACAATCTGTGATGTCCCAGTGCAATGCTGTCTTTTGGCAGTGGTCTCCAACCTGGGCGCGTGAGGAAGTTCCCAGGGAGGGCATCAAGCAATTTTGAAAATGAGTTCATTTGTAATTGTAATAATCTGGCACACTAACATTCTTCTCAGCTTAATTATAAAATAATATTGTTACACTATATAAAACAAAAAAGGCATGGATATTTTTGTTTTTATGAGCAGTCTGTATATCGACCATTACAAATCTAATCAATATGATATGTGTATTTAATTGTAGACTATCAACACATTCCTCCTCTTTTTTTTAATCACATTTTATTATGTTGGAATGGAGGGTTGTGTCTTGCCATATATTATCAAGGGATGGGGTGGTATGGGCAAGGTTGAAGACCACTGTCTTAGCGCATCCCTATTTTCGAGGGACCCTATCTTCCACTGTTGTTGCGGTTGACACATCTCTACCTCTCCAGATGAAAGTTAAACGTTATGTTAGAGGGATGTATAGTTTTAACAAAGAAGACACAAACAACAGTTTGCACAATTTATTGCCTGGCATATTTCGCTGTATCTCGTCAGGTGTATAATTCAGTAACAATTACATAAATGAAGCAAATAAGTGAATCCTTTATAACTGAAGTACAATTTCAGCAACGATCAAACATAACTGCCTAATTTTTACCAGGGCAGCCATAAAGACAGAACCATCTCTTTCTGTACACATAGTTCCGGGTGCAGGTGACATATCGCATAAGTTTTGAGAAATCTTAGCGTTCTGCCACTGGTTGACGTATGAAGGATTTGAAATGCGTTGTCCTTAGTTACGTGTCCAGATTTTAGAAATACGCCAGGCAATAAATTTTGCAATCTACTGTTCGTGTCTTCTTTGTTCAGATGTATAGTTGTTACAGTCCAGAGCAATGACAAGTGTGAGTGGCAAGACCAACCAGGAAAGGCTTCCACAATAAGTGCATGGGCTTTCAGACCACTGCTTACAGTTACAGCTGGAGTTCCAGAAAAAAGTCTGGGCAGTTTTGTAAAGAGCCTGTGTTATCCCTCACAGTGGCAAACTGCTCAATGTAAAAAAAAAACCAACAGCAAAAAAAAAAAAATGCTGGGCTTGGTTCTGCAACGTCCTGTAAAGGATACAGAACTAATTTTTAAATGTGTTACCCAAACAGCATGATCTTCTCTCAGACTGCCTCAGAAAAGGTAATACATTTGGATTTTGCATGCTGCAGAAGTTGTTGGATTTATAGAGCCGTGTTCTATTAACCCTGTCAAATAATAATTCCTAGATCAGCTGCGCATTAAGGCTCAAAACCTGGTCTGACTGCAACACCCCACCCACCACCTTGTGGGATCTGCGGTTTCATTTTGCAGACCCACTGCCCCCTAACAAGGAAGTGACTAATTAGGAGTGTAGCCTTCAAGTTGAACGGCAAGAAACCAACAGTCTGCACACAAATAAGCCAGATCTGCAAAAGGGATGTGCACAAAAACTCTGGATCAAGACCAAAGTATAGGAGTGGACGAACAACTAGAACTTTCTGCCGGAGTTTGCAACCGGTGAATGCTTAGAAGAAGAAGAAGAAGGTCTGCCTTGCCATAACATTAATAATTCAAGGATAAGGCAAGCATCCTCTCTATTTATCAGATAACATATACTACAACCTGAGAAACCTTTCATTATTTTGTAGAAAATAGGAAGCAATGGAATTGCTTATATCGCAGTAAAAACTGTCTTTAGTGCCTGTATTTACCACTTGTGGTGCAGGACAGGAGAGTCATGAGCGTGCAGATTTAGGGCCACAGGGTTAGTGCAGCTGCCATGAACAGGTTAGAATGTTTTGTTGTTGTTTGTAGGTCCCTAAATGAAAAATCTCCATCCCTTACTGAGGATCAAACCTGGGTCCCCTGCATAACAGATCAATGTTCTAACCATTTGGATAGCTGTAATTTACCTAAACATAAACATAACTTACATTTTTTTTTAAACAATAATGAAAATTACAAAGACAAAAAACAAAACAAATATATTTACTTACAGTAGCATGTTCCTCCATTTTTGGGGTCACCTGAATATTTGCTGCTCTCATCACATCTACAGGAAAATATTTTGTATTACTGTTTGAACATTATTTATATTCTTTAAGCTCATTTAAGCAACACGAAAAATGTTGCGTAAAATGTCTTGCTGTTTCTTCAGTAAACTCCAATATCATCAGCATCATGTGTCCTATTAAGAAATATCCAATCACAGCTGCTAGCTCACACAGTCAGCAGAATCTCAATTCAGGTCAGTGCTCCTGTCTGAATTTGTCCATATGACCAAGCCACCCAGGTATATATCTGCTTGGCTTTGCTTGTTCTTTCCCTATCAAAGGCTTTGAGGTCTCGAGGCATGGTGTCCACCGCGAGTTCTAGAGGTTCTGGGTTTGATCCCCGGTAAGGGCTGAGATTTTTTCACGTGGACTTGGACTTCTAGTAATTCCTCCTGGTTTCTGGGTAGTGAGATCGGACACCATGTGCATTGTCGCGCATGTAAAAAAAAAGTCCCTTGGCAGTCAGAAATTTCAGGATCCTCGCCGGTGCTACAGAGCCTGAGCACTGTGATGAGCTTCATCGGACTTAGACTTGAGTTAGAAGTAGAAAGGAGCACTTATGGGTTACTACCCATGTGCCATGATGTTGATCCGTTGTTCAAAACCTCAACAACTGCAGCGCCTATCAAATTTGCAACTTATTACTAAGTTTTCAAGATTAATTATCACACAACATGCCCAACCGTCTAATTTTAATTTCTTTGATCACTTTACAGCTCTCATCTGTTTCTTATTCCAGGATATCCTTTGCATTTTCCTGTCCCAATTTGTCTACATGACCAAGCCACCCAGGCATTTATCTGCTTGGCTTTCTTTGGTCTTTTCCAACCAAATTCCACCATATTAATAATTTTTAAGATTAGTTTCCACATATGCCCAACAATGCTTGACCATCTACATCTAATTTCTGTGATCACTTTACAGCTTTCATCTGTTTCTTATTCCAGGAAATTGCATTTTCTTCAGGAACCACATTTCTCCTAACTTTAGATGTTTCTCAGCTTTTCTGCATATTTTATCTCTCTCTCTCTTTCTCTCTCTCTCTCTTTCTTACTCACTCTCTTGCTCACTCATATGCATGTACACATTCACTCACTCACTCAGCCACTCATTCACAGACACACACCCACCCACCCATACAACTCTCACTCTCTCTTATACATACATACATACATACATACATACATACATACATACATACATACATACATACATACATACATACATACATACATACATACATACATACATACATACATACATACATACATACATACATACATACATACATACATACATACATACATACATACATACATACATACATACATACATACATACATACATACATACATACATACATACATACATACATACATACATACATACATACATACATACATACATACATACATACATACATACATACATACATACATACATACATACATACATACATACATACATACATACATACATACATACATACATACATACATACATACATACATACATACATACATACATACATACATACATACATACATACATACATACATACATACATACATACATACATACATACATACATACATACATACATACATACATACATACATACATACATACATACATACATACATACATACATACATACATACATACATACATACATACATACATACATACATACATACATACATACATACATACATACATACATACATACATACATACATACATACATACATACATACATACATACATACATACATACATACATACATACATACATACATACATACATACATACATACATACATACATACATACATACATACATACATACATACATACATACATACATACATACATACATACATACATACATACATACATACATACATACATACATACATACATACATACATACATACATACATACATACATACATACATACATACATACATACATACATACATACATACATACATACATACATACATACATACATACATACATACATACATACATACATACATACATACATACATACATACATACATACATACATACATACATACATACATACATACATACATACATAACATACATACATACATACATACATACATACATACATACATACATACATACATACATACATACATACATACATACATACATACATACATACATACATACATACATACATACATACATACATACATACATACATACATACATACATACATACATACATACATACATACATACATACATACATACATACATACATACATACATACATACATACATACATACATACATACATACATACATACATACATACATACATACATACATACATACATACATACATACATACATACATACATACATACATACATACATACATACATACATACATACATACATACATACATACATACATACATTACATACATACATACATACATACATACATACATACATACATACATACATACATACATACATACATACATACATACATACATACATACATACATACATACATACATACATACATACATACATACATACATACATACATACATACATACATACATACATACATACATACATACATACATACATACATACATACATACATACATACATACATACATACATACATACATACATACATACATACATACATACATACATATACATACATACATACATACATACATACATACATACATACATACATACATACATACATACATACATACATACATACATACATACATACATACATACATACATACATACATACATACATACATACATACATACATACATACATACATACATACATACATACATACATACATACATACATACATACATACATACATACATACATACATACATACATACATACATACATACATACATACATACATACATACATACATACATACATACATACATACATACATACATACATACATACATACATACATACATACATACATACATACATACATACATACATACATACATACATACATACATACATACATACATACATACATACATACATACATACATACATACATACATACATACATACATACATACATACATACATACATACATACATACATACATACATACATACATACATACATACATACATACATACATACATACATACATACATACATACATACATACATACATACATACATACATACATACATACATACATACATACATACATACATACATACATACATACATACATACATACATACATACATACATACATACATACATACATACATACATACATACATACATACATACATACATACATACATACATACATACATACATACATACATACATACATACATACATACATACATACATACATACATACATACATACATACATACATACATACATACATACATACATACATACATACATACATACATACATACATACATACATACATACATACATACATACATACATACATACATACATACATACATACATACATACATACATACATACATACATACATAACATACATACATACATACATACATACATACATACATACATACATACATACATACATACATACATACATACATACATACATACATACATACATACATACATACATACATACATACATACATACATACATACATACATACATACATACATACATACATACATACATACATACATACATACATACATACATACATACATACATACATACATACATACATACATACATACATACATACATACATACATACATACATACATACATACATACATACATACATACATACATACATACATACATACATACATACATACATACATACATACATACATACATACATACATACATACATACATACATACATACATACATACATACATACATACATACATACATACATACATACATACATACATACATACATACATACATACATACATACATACATACATACATACATACATACATACATACATACATACATACATACATACATACATACATACATACATACATACATACATACATACATACATACATACATACATACATACATACATACATACATACATACATACATACATACATACATACATACATACATACATACATACATACATACATACATACATACATACATACATACATACATACATACATACATACATACATACATACATACATACATACATACATACATACATACATACATACATACATACATACATACATACATACATACATACATACATACATACATACATACATACATACATACATACATACATACATACATACATACATACATACATACATACATACATACATACATACATACATACATACATACATACATACATACATACATACATACATACATACATACATACATACATACATACATACATACATACATACATACATACATACATACATACATACATACATACATACATACATACATACATACATACATACATACATACATACATACATACATACATACATACATACATACATACATACATACATACATACATACATACATACATACATACATACATACATACATACATACATACATACATACATACATACATACATACATACATACATACATACATACATACATACATACATACATACATACATACATACATACATACATACATACATACATACATACATACATACATACATACATACATACATACATACATACATACATACATACATACATACATACATACATACATACATACATACATACATACATACATACATACATACATACATACATACATACATACATACATACATACATACATACATACATACATACATACATACATACATACATACATACATACATACATACATACATACATACATACATACATACATACATACATACATACATACATACATACATACATACATACATACATACATACATACATACATACATACATACATACATACATACATACATACATACATACATACATACATACATACATACATACATACATACATACATACATACATACATACATACATACATACATACATACATACATACATACATACATACATACATACATACATACATACATACATACATACATACATACATACATACATACATACATACATACATACATACATACATACATACATACATACATACATACATACATACATACATACATACATACATACATACATACATACATACATACATACATACATATACATGTAAATATATTTATATATAACAGAAAAGATTGTATAATCACTCTGAGAAGGCTTTATCTGGTCACTTTTAGCTGTGACACAGCCCCATAAATGTCATTTTTTAGTGACCTGTTCTTGAAAACCACATGTAGTTTTTAGAAGGCCTGGATGGGTATATATTAACTAAGTATAAAATTAAGGGAGCTGCCTAGTGAATTCAATAGCTTTGTTAAAATATTTTCTACGCCTCCCTGACAGTGGTCATGGGGTAAACGGTATGAGTCACTCAATACATATCTGTTTAACGACCATGAGGAATGCAATCCACTAAATGCTTCACACTGTTCTTGTTTACTGAAAAATCTATATATCTTTAAATATTTCAAAACAAAAATTTTTAAAATGTAGATAAATTAAGTTTTAAAACAATTTATTAGTAATTTTTTTAGCATTCACAGGACAAAAGGGTTAAATTTATTACAAATTCATTTGTTCTTTCTTTCCACCCCCCCCCCCCCTTCCCTTCCCCTCTCTTGTTTCCTTCTCTCTACTACAGGGCTATTCAACTAAGTTTACTCAGGGCTACAATTTAAAAAATAGGGATCATTACAGGCCAGAGGGCTGAGCCTCAGCACAGAAAAATCATTAATATGATAAAGTTGGCAATGATTTGCAGGCCACTTGTTAGGCCTCTGCAGGCCATATATGGCCCACGAACTGCCAGTTGAATAGCCCTGCTCTACTATATGCACAGATAATTATACAATTTAAGAGTACTTACCTATCACAGAATTTACCAGTAACACCTCTGGTTCGACAGTAACAATCACCATTAAGTGGATTACAACTGTCAGCTTGGCCATTGCAGAAACACGCTAAACAATTAAAACCAATATTTAATCATCACAACGATACAAACATAACAGAATATTATAACCAATATTTTATTAGCAGGGTCACATAAATCTCTCAATAAACCTTTGACTATAAAAGATAATTAAATACCAAATCCATTGGAGTGCTGGCCCTTCATAAATTCTAGGCGATAAAAAAATGATATCTCGTCTTGCTTTTCCTCCTCAGCAATTTCAAAAATTATCCTGAGCCAATACTACATTGGTAGATTGCTCTAGAGCAGTGTTTTCCAACTTAAAGGGGTTTAAAGGATTTTTTAAAATAATTTTTAAATTGTTTTTAGCATATTCTATCCATCCAGAGAGGCTTTTAAATCGGTTTTGAAATTCTTTTACCAATCCACATGAATCCTATAAATTGACTTTACTGCAATGGTCAGCCCCTGACGAGCCTAGTTAACGGCACAGGTTCTGTCTGCACCTGTGCAGTGTTTAGGATGACCGGGTATGATTACATTTACTGAAAATTGTATGTTATGATTTTCTAAAATAAATTTTAAACAAACTAATTAATGACCTGAGTAAAAGATTGCCTTTAAAGGATTTTTCCCTCCAGAAATTAATTGGTTTTGGGGCTTTCATTTTTTTCCTCATGGTTTCCGGGACAAATAGGTTAAAATGGTAGGCAAACAGTGTATACACCCCAACAGTTCAGAGAGAAAAAAACTTTAAAAATAAATTTAAACTCAGATATAAAAACGTGTGTTGAAAATTAATCTTTAGCATTAAATTAAGCATCAGAAAGAAAATTGTGCACCGAACTTCATGTTCTTCAAGAATTAAACTACAAAATCGGTACTTACGTGTACACTTTCCACCATTTTCTGGATTTCCATAATATCCGTCAGAGCAGTACTGACACTGAGGACCTGGAATTCAGAAGCAGCTAATAGTTTTTTTCTGCCTGCATTCATGTGTCATTTATATAGATGTAAGTGCTTCAGTTACTTAACAATAAAAAGATGTCAACTGCAGTAGGAACACAAGTTTTAAACTGATATCTAGAATCTGTGTTGTTATATGCACGTGAGACATAGACAATAAGCAGACAAGCTGAAAACATTTACTCGCAGTGAAAATGTGATTTATGAGAATTCAGAACATACCATAGAATGATAGAAAAACAAATGATGTGGTACTCATTGCAACAGGTAAAAGTTGTAAACTAGAACATTTAGACGCAGACAGACAATGTTTTCTGGACATGTTATGCAAAAGTATAGACTCAAGAACTTGAAGATGAACAGAAAAAGAGCAAGTAGAAGACAAAAGATAAATATCTGGATAGCTAGGCCTCATGAATGAATAAGGTCCGTGATTTTGGTAATCATGTGAGACAACAAAACATGACAGCCTACACTTATGGTCAGGGCCCACAATGATGACTTTGATTCCAGCTTTGAAATCCACATGATGGGTGCTTATTTCAGCATACATAACTGCACCATTAAGGATCCCAATGTATGCATATCAGCGCTATGTAGCAGGTCCTTTGTCCGCCTGAAAGAAACTCAAGTCTTTCACCAGCTCTCCCAACTCGTGCACTTTCCTACCCAAGCTCCAAGCTGTCACTTATATCCTGTGTCCATCTTCGTGCAGGTTGGCCCCTGCCCTTCTTTCCTGGTATCATGTCTTATTCTTTTATTTTTTTTTATTCGGCTGGACTCTTGATAGTCAATCTTCCTTGATGCTGAGACCTTTTAGGATGTCAGTATTTCTTGTCTTCTTTTTCCATAGTATGCCGAGAATCTTTCTATGGCATTTCAGTTCAAAATCCCCTATTTGATTCCCTAAAGACTGGTGTGCATACAAGAATCCATAAATTATCATCACACTGTGCACATTTTACAAACACTGCTTTAAATGATACATAATTTCATATGATGACAAGTTATGTTTTCAATTTTATTGCTCCTCATATTATACAATTAAATTGTGAATGTGGACTCGCCATGCATATTTAGGGGGCCTAATATTGGGGAAAGGGGGGGGGGGGCAGAAAATTAACCCCCACCCCAAAAAGCATGTCATAAAAGTAGACTATTTATGGGTTCATCCTTTGAAGTCAAGATTGGCTTAAGAGGCAAGAAACCAACACTCTGCATGCTAATAAGCCAGATCAGTAAAATGGAAGTGCATGTAAAATTCAAGCTCTGAAACAAGACTAAATTCCAGAAGCGGGCAAACAATTTGAGCTTTCCCCTAATCTTTACAGCTGGTGACCACTAAGAAAAAGAAGAAGAAGAAGAAGAAGAAGAAGAGACTGCAGGCATGCAGTACAATTCTGTTGTGTATATTTAATATTGTGCTGTCTCCAGAGGTTGGATGCAGTGGATATGTGCATCCAATTCAGTCTGGAATATGTGGTAAGCACTAATCACTTCCCCAATGTGACTATCATGCCACTGCCTGAAAGCCATGAGAACAATATTTTTCTTAAACGTCCACCAAGCTGGATGCAGTGGATACGTGCATCCATTTCATTCTGGAATGTGTAGTAAGCACTAATCACTTCTACAATGTGATTCTCATGCCATGAAAACAATATTTTTCTTAAACCCAAAACCCAGGTTGGTTGCTAACTGAAACGTGCTCATTAACCTCAAAGCAACCGCTATTTTGTAGGGGTGTTCGTTTTTTTTTTCTTTTTTTTTCACTATCGCAACTCTCAGCCTGTTATGGTGTAGTAGTGGCTAGATTTTTGCATGCCAGCATGAAAGTCTTAGATTTCAATCTGCAGTGAGTGGAAAAAGCTGCTCTCGGCTCCCAGGTCGACCCAGCCTAAAACGGGTACCAGGTAAAGCTGTGGGAAATAAAGACGGCTGGCGTGATGTTGAACACCACCCATCAAGTGCCAACAGGTAAATAAAAAACATGTCTTGCATCATATGCCCCATGCACCACTTTTCTCCAGAACAGAAGAGAAATTATTGAAAAATATTTAAAAGTTTTAGACTTACCAGTAGTTGGAAATTGACATTTTTCACAAGTGCTGGAACCATTCAGACATGTGGAGTGTCCATTGCACTGGCATTCTAAAACACATAATTATGATCACTTTACAAACAACATCAATATTTTCATGTGATTAAAAAAAAATACTTTCCACACACCTACGCAGAATGCTACAGTGGTCAGATATTTGCTCTTAGGTCCTGAAGTTTGAGGTTCAAATTCACATCTGTGGGTTTTCATAATTTATCTTTGACCAACACAGCCAAAAATGGGTATCAGGAAATCTTTTGGTAAGGAAAGGTGACCAGCATGTTGATGAAAACATCATCTCAGTGCTGTCTTGTTTATACAAATACTGGGCCTGGCACCATATGTCTGATGCCTCAATGGTGCAAAAATGGTCCTGTTAAACTGTTTTACATTTTTTTTAACATTACATTAAAAATTATTACCATGCCTGTTTATTACTTTGACTGTTTTATATATATATATATATATATATATATATATATATATATATATATATATATATATATATATATATATATATATATATATATATATATATACTCAAATAACTTCCTAATGAATACCTTGTGTGTGTTATCAGGACCAAAATGGAAAGCAAAGAATAGTAACCTCGTAACCAAAACTGTATGCTGTGAGAGGTAAATAATGAGCGAGGTGAGGCCAGTTACCTAATCCTGCAAGATACTTGATGAAAAATGCAACCGATAATCAACAAAAAGTTTAAAAACTTTTTGGCAGGAGTCAACCACACTTAGGTCTGGCTTGACAGTCTGCACAGGTTGCTAAGGTGGAGCAGTTGTTTGCTGTGAAGCGAGAGGAAATCCATATGAGGAAACTAAGGTGAATTTGTATAGTGGTAACTAGTTCATTACAAGAAAATTTCAGCTGCAGAATGCTAACAATCACATAAAATTCATTACAGAAATAGGATTGCTTAGTATGAAATAGCTGGAGTCTTTGTTTTGTTGGAGGAGATCCCTATGTAGGTTCTAGGGCCACATTTAATAGTGGGAGACTCCCCTAACAAGCAAATGGCAGAAGGCGACCAATTAGAGATTTTCTTCCAAAACCGGAGCGCATCTGCCTCAGAAGCCAGGAACCAACAGTGTACATTCAAATAAGCCAGATCCTTACAACAGATGTGCACACAAAATTCAAGTTCTGGAACAAGATTAGAGTCCAGAAATGAACGAACAAAGAGAACTTACTGCCAGAGTTTACCTCCAAAAAATACTAAAAAGAAAAAAAAGTTGAAGGAGGAAAAAGTAGGAGATAGAGAAAGAGGTGGAGGAAGATGAGGATGATAGAAGAGTAAGTAGAACAAGATGAAATGTTCAATAAAATTAAAGACTTTGAACAGAAGACTTTAAACAGAAGACTCCTGGAGAATCAATAAATCCACCCAGTTCTTACAGAATGAAAATAAACAAAAAACATTTGTTGAATCTAAGCCAGGTTTAAAAAAAAGTATATGAATCAACCCAATATTTCCCCAGAGCAGAAGACAGGGCACAATAGATTAATTAACAAAAAGCAAAACAGGGCAGCGAAACTCCTGGTTTGTGTGACAACTGCAAAAAGGAACAAAGTATAAAGTAAACGAGTGATTATTTACTTTTGGCTGACAAACAAGTGTTCTTACCATTACATGCAGCAGCCTTTGTGATCCAGCCCATGCACTGGCCATAGTGGAAGGAAACCACATAGGCATTGGTGTCGATGCACTGAGCCAGATTGGAGCACCACATGCACTGTGCACTGGTGCAGTTCTCACAAGAATGCTGATCACTACATACTTTTTGTGTGCAAACCTGTTTGGGGGTGCTATTGTGCTGGTTATTTCCTGGAATGTTGTTGGCTGTGAGTTAAAATATACACACTTATCATAAAGTAATAAAGTTTCATTTGTGTTTGGGGAGACATTAATAAACAAGATATAATATTAAAGTTTTATTTATGTTAGGAGAGAAAATACGCAGCAGGGTAAAATAGCCAGGTGTCACCTGTCTTGAGAGACTAGTGTCATGACCCACGTAAACATAGACTTTATTATTAATGTAAGTAAAGTAAAGATCCCTTTTTATGCATTTAGGCGCATCGAGCACATGGGGACAGCACCCATATTTTTACAGACCAATCGGCACTGGGTGGGTAATGTGGTCAGCCTTATGCCGGCCCTCTTTACTTCCCCAGGAAATACATCCTGGTACCCATTTTAGACTGGGTCGACCTGCAACGCTTCATACCATGATAAAAATCCACACAGCCAGCCGTGGGTTGCGATCGCGGTACGCTGGAATTACTAGTCGCACTCACAACGCCAAAGCCATGAACGCCATCAAAGTCCTCCTGAATTGTGGGTTTCCCCCACACGCCCGTATAGATGCACTGTCAGCCCAACATGCATGTACCAGTCGACTGGGTCGCTTCCTCTGAAATTTGAAGTGCATCTGCATAGTTTGCATACAAATATGCGGTAAGGACCACAAGGTTCTGCTTCAAAGAACTTTCTGCCGAGTTTAAGCTGGTGAAATGCCAAGTAGAAGAATCAGATCACCTGGTAGGTGGCTGAGTAGGAGCTGGCTGAGGGCTTGTGTTCCAGTAAGGGGAAAAAAGGGCAGGAGAAGAAGCAAACATAAACCTTACAGACCTGAAAACAAAACTACATGTAATTTTGGAATTAGTCTTTCATCACTGCTGATGAATTAGAATTCACTTTGCTTGATATTCAACCTTAATACTTTTTTCTGACTCCCTTCCCATTCATTCAATGGGTGTTTCTGTAGCACTGCAAAGGAATTGTGATAATAAGAGATTTACATGGTTCCTGGATGAAAGAAATTTGTGCCTTAATATTTTGAAAAGAACCTCTCAACTGCTTCACATTTGAAATATAATTAGTGTGTTAGCTGAGCTGAGCTAAGAACCGAAACCACAGCATTTGAAACATTCCCAGAAGCGCTCCATCCCCACCTGCAGCAGCCAGTGCAAAGTTCAAATTCCAATGGTACCAGTAGCAGCTTGTCACTGTTTTGCCTTTTCTCTGAATGCTGAATATGTCTGCAAATAGCCTGGTCACTCTACACTGTATCCTTCTCTTCAGGCTGTGATGATCCACTTGTGCTTCCGCATTGTTCACTGGCTCCAAAAGGGCCTCGACCACATCTTGCTTATCATGCACCAATTTACCACCAAAATAGGGCAGAACCAGCCAGTCTGCATGCTTGTTCATTTCTCAACACATCTGTATACACTGGAGAAAATATCCAAGAATGCTAACTAGCCAGGACCAATGAAGCAATGCTAGACATTCTGCACTTTGTGAGTTAGTTCAAGCAGGTAAGAGGCTTACCTTTTGCAGCACATTTATTGCTGTCCTGCCAACTGCATTCATTGTGCTCAATGCAAGCATTACATGTTTGATACAGTTCACACACTGCATTGACATTTTCTGTGCAGTTTCCAGTATCCTGAAACAGCATTAAAACAACCATTGACTCATTTATTTTACTGTTATGTTATTACAATCGCCACCACTGCATACTGGGCATTCCCATGCCTGCTCAATACTCGAATGCAACAGCCACTCAAATGTACTGCTACTGCCTGTTCCCATGAGGAGTTGGTAATTTCTCGGTGATATCCGTGCTTCACTGAACTTCACTCCTAAGTCATGCAATCGAGTTAGCATCAAATATTTGTCATTATCCACTAGCTCGGTCTGTACAGCGTAGATGATATCTGCTTTGTTCATGCTTGCCTTTCATTGTTGTTGTATTAGGAGACAGATTAATAATAAACAAAATTACACGCACTGAAAATACAGAGAAAGTCAACATCTTTTTTCTGAAAATAACAAAGCAAAAATAATGACCATGTGGGCAGAACAAAGATACAGCCATAATGATTTCTAATGTGACCCAGAAAATATGGTTAGTTGAAAACAATTAATTAAAAGCAGAAGTGGGTAGGCAAAAACAGCATTTCAGAAAATTAAAAGTATCTAATGTAAAAAAAAAAAAAAATAACTCTCACTAATCATCAGGCCCGGCTCTCTAGCACAGTTGGCTAAACCGGATTGCGCGGTGACCAGGTGACAAACTCCTTGTGGTCTGGGTTCACTCCCGGGGGTAGGCAGAAAAGTTAAATTTCTCCCAGATTTACAGTATTTACAATGGAATCAAGGCCAAAAGGTTGCGATATCCATAATACCGAGCCTAAGGGTTAACAACTCATGGCTTCTGGATACTAAAACAAACAAACACTAATCATCAGAAAACAAGTACTGAAATGTCATATCGAGCCTGCTCTGTTGTATGGCAGTGAATCTTGGAATGTGAGCATACAAACTGACAAGAGTTTGGAGATGTGGTTCTTGAGAAGAATGTTGCAGATACCTTGGACAGCCAGAATAACTAACAATGATTGCCTGGAAAGGGTCAACGAAGCAACAATGCTATGTCTAGCATTAAATACAAACGTTGATGCGAGAATGATGCCTATGATGCCAAAGTCCTATTTACAGGCGCACACATATGTCAAGGTGAACAGTTCGGTCCCATATGCCAGTACGTCAATCTAGCATAACAGAATAAATTAAAATTAGGTGCTGAAGTCGGAGGCAGCCAGCCAGGAGGCGCACTGTAAAAATCAGGATGCCACGCACAAACGCTTAAGGAAATTTACCTATATCTGTGACTAGATCTAGTCTAATGGCTGATAAAAGTAGAACATTTAATACAACAATGAAAAGGACATGGACAAAGTTCTTTGGTCATGTGATGAGAAAAGGAGAACAGGTAAATACTGTGTGGACTGGCAGAAGAGGCAGAAGAAGCAGAAATGATGGTTGATGGCTTAAGACAGTGGCATGGAGGAATATCAACAGGCGAATTGACTGAGATCTGTGGAGATGCATGAAGGCCAGCTGGCAAGGCCCTTGATGATGATGATGAATGACTTGATGTGGGCAAACTAACATAATGACTTTCATAATGATTCATGATTTTCATAAAATAAACAAATAGAGCAGCACTAACAAAACAGAAGTTAAATTATAGAAAGCAGATTTCATAAGGGTGTTATATTTAATGTAGCCCAAAAAAATTTGACATCCAAAATAACTGTTGCCACAATGTCTTTCATCAGTTCAGAAATAGAACAACAAGAAAATGACTGTGTAGGATCCGGAAGACCAAATTTTGAGGGGAAAACAATAGGGGTGTACTGACATCTGGTGTGATGGGCCAAAAGCTAAAATCATTGCAGCTTAGCTGTACACCTACAATGCAATATACCAACAACCATTTAAAGGATGAACACAGAATAATATGAACAACAACATAATAAGCCCAAAAATGTCATATTACCATGCTACAGTTGGGTGTTGTCGCTGGAGATGAGGTACATAAGCCCCCACACCAATGGCACCCTGCAGTATTCTGGCAGGAACTACATGTGTTGTATCCTAAACACTTTGCTTCTGAATCTGTTAAAAAGAATAATCAGTTCCATTATCTTTCAGTCCCAAGATCATGACCCAAAGTGGAAGAAAGAAAAAAACAATGACACAGAATCAGTTTATTACTTCTGTTGTGCTGCCTACAGAAATATCTAGCCAGATTTATTTTTTATAACAAAATCAAATACAAATGAAATAATTACGCACTTGTCTGATGTTTGATACACTCAGACAATAGCTTATCACACATGGTACATTTTGTCGGGACAAAAGGATTCAACTCTTTCAGTGCCCTGGTAGGGCTAGAATGAATTGAGAAAACAAGTAGTGGAATGTGTGATAAATAAACATATAGTGCACGGCTTGGGACCATCATTATCATCATCATACTGTCATGCCATTTATACATCATATAGGGCTCACAGTTTTTATGTGTTTGCTTTTGGGTTTGTTCTCTGCCTTTTGGCCTGTCCTACCCAGAAAGCCATCCTAATAGCTACGCTACTGCCAGCATAGTTCTCAGGGTCAATGAGGAACACATACTAGACTTATTTAAATGCCATTCATAATAATAACCTATGTTGTTCATCCCCCAATGTGCGACACAATTTTTGGTTACTTTAAAGCCCCACACCACCGGCTGTAGTCGGGGGGGGGGGGGGGGGCGGGACCTAATATAACCTAACAGTGGAGCGTCTTTCTGGGACTTGTGCCCGGGTGATTCTCATCTAAATGGTGGCACTTTGTGTCACAGGATGTCTGGTCGCTCGTTGTATGGTCTTGGTGGGGTTGAACGACGCCATCTCCAGATGGCTGGCTACAGTTTACCACTGCTGTCTTTGTGGGAATATTATGTGGTGAGGCTCAAATCTCTTCCACAGTGTGACTCTTGTACAACTGTAGGAAAACCACATGAATGTTTTTTTTTTCCTGTCCATCACAGGGAATGAACCTTAGTACTTTAGGATCATGGAATTATTAACCACAACTGTGAAACCTTTAATCCATAGAACTGCACTAATACACTTATCTTCTTCTTTTTCAGCATTCTGGGCCCTTGAGGTTCATTGCTGCAGATATCACATGCTTCCATTCATCTCTCTGGTTCTCTTTCCTTCTCTTTCCAGTTGGTAACACCAAGTGTTTGCAGGTCTGTCTGGATATTATCTCTCCATCGTCTTCTTGGTCTCCCTCATGGTCTATGACCATTTCTCTCCCAGATGTATACAGTTTTTACTTCTCTGTTATCTGACATTCTTTCAATATGCCCCAACCATTTCAGTCTATTAGCTCTCATAATCCCATTATAAAGTGTTAAAAACACTATAAAGACAGCAGCTGAACATACCTTTGCTGTGACAGGTGGTGTTAGTGTTTGTCACACACTGGTTGTTCACCCACTGACATTTAATTCCTGGAATCGCTGATTCACATGCATCCTGATTCTTGTAAAATGTACAATTCCCTATAAGCCAAAAGATAACAGCACTTTACTTCAGGGTGATTTAGTTTCCCTTACTTCAACATTGTCTCACAGATGAATTTCTTTTATTTACAGTCAATTTGTACTTTTTACAGCTGAACTACTGGGAGGAAGGCGAGAGGAAGACCAAGAAAAAGAAGAATAAATGATGTAGCAGAAACTGCCAAAAGACGAATAAATCTATCACCCAAGCCACCCAAGAGGCGCAAGACAAATAAAGAAAACCACAGCACTGGGCTACAAAACCTAGTATCAGTGAGACAACAAAAGAAAAAGACAAGTCGATTCAAAGACATTCAAGACAGACCCACATGTGCTCAGTATTTACTGGCTGACAATAAAATAGGGGTAATAGATTATACAGGGTTCGTAGCCAAATTTACCAATCAATTTCAAGGCTTTTCAAGGTCTTTTTCAAGGTCTCCTTAGTTTTTTTCAAGGTTGTCTCGGTGTAATACTAATACAAGATTTTTGCCTTGTTCAAGGGTGTACTGAGCACACAAGGTACTTCATTTGTGCCACATGTGTTGGTATACCAGCACAGATATCATCATCATGTAGCATTTCCTTTGTCCTG